CGGGGGGGGAGGAGAAAGGTAAAATCGGGAAGAGAGGAAAAAATAATGACACTTGAGCAGCAACGGACCTTCTTAGTATTCAACTCCTGTGGATTTATTGTGTTTTGGGTGGGTTTTTTTCCTCCCCTTGACTGCGTACATCCGCGTATTTCAAAGGAAAGCCGAATAGAGGTTGCTTTATTAAAAATCCACGCAGCTAATTAATTGTACGTGGGCAGGGGAGAGCCGCTGGCGTGTAACTTGTTCGCTCGGGGTGTGTTTGCTTTTGGAAAAGAGGATAGCTTAAAAGGGATCGCAGGGGGAAATAATTGGATTCATGTCGGGGGAGAAGCACAGCTCTGTGTTTCAGTCTTGTTGTTAGATTATTTTTTTTTTTAATAATAAAAACATACAGGCGCTGGTAGGCATTTTAACAGGTGGACTTACCAGCCGTAGGGATTTATTTTAGTTGGGGCTTTATCCCTTCTCCAGCAGATGAGATCTTTTTGCCCTCATGGATTTGACTTGAGATCTTTTTGCCTTTTGTGTTTCCAAGTATTGGAGGGGAATATCTCCATGGAACGCCGTGTGTGTCCTGCATGCCAAGTTCAAGGCAGGTGACTGCTTGGGTGTAATGTCACACTTGGGAAAGGGGGGACACACACGTGAGTGTCAAGGCTTGCTGTCTGAAGAGCGATGTCTTCGCAGGCACTCGGCAAAATCCCGTTCGATGCGAAGAAATTTAAAGATGGAAATAAACTCACTTGGTAGGAGTAGTAAATAACGACTGCTGTATCGTCGTAGTGGGGTCTGGAGCACCGCACATACGCCCTGCTAAAAACTAGAGGGGCAGTGACCCGACAGACTTGTCTGAAACGTGTTGGAGGTCTGCGTGCATTAGCAAACCTATCGAGGGTTTAATTTCTACAGAGAACAGGTTTGGTTTGTAGGGGTTTGATATCAAATGTGCTACCGACTCGGAGGCAGAGTTAGTGCAGGACTGGGTTGGAGCCTGGGGGGGTGTGTGTGAAAGTGAAACATGTGGAAAAGCAAAACTGAAATTGAAGGCATGGTTTTATTTCTGTCCTAATGGACCTGTAAAAAGAGTATGTGCGCTACCAGAAATAGATGACTATTTTGCCAATTTGGTTGCCACTCGTCACAGGTTTAGCTATGCTTTGGTGTATAAGACAATCTATTTAACCTTGTTTTACTAGGTAAATTCAGTTACAGTGGTACCTTATTAGTAATTCTTATTTTATCTGGGGTCTCTTTCTGGACATGGAAAGTCAAATAGAAAGCTATGCTAAAAGCACATCCTAGAGAGAAAATTATGTCTTTGTACTTTGAGAATGGAGGAGATAAAAATCACATTTTGCATGTGAGTCTTGCACTCGCATACTCTTTTTCTATCACAGCTGATTAGAAAGATAATTATGTATAAATAGTTGTCTCTTGTAATTGGCCTTTGCCTCTTGCTGGAGTCATTCCGTAATGTCACAGTTTAGTGTTTACTGTTGTGAAATTGATATGGATTTCGCAGCGCCTGGACTGTGACGTCCGAGGCAGAAGAAGGAAACCAAAGAGAAAAGGGTATGCTGTGTCAATTCATTGGTAACACACCATCTGTTAACGATGTGCGCCCATACAGTGCTTGTTCTGTCCCCAAAAAAAGTTCAGAGCACCTTATGGAGATGATCAATAATGACCAGGTAGAGAGGAAATCCATTCCTGCACTAAAACTCGGCCGACGCTGGGGTGAAATATGGTGACTTTAAGGCAGTAGCTGTAGATCAGAAGAATGTTGTGACCAGCTGGATGTATGGAGGGAAGTGCAAGTGCTAGAGAAGAAATCGTGTGTAATGCATGTGTCCTAAGGACCATGACTCTAAGTGGTCTAATTCATAGTTTCTGTGTACTCACTCCTAGCAGATCTTGGACACCCTGGAGAGGATGAAAATGTAGAGTGTGGTGGGTTGACCTTGGCTGGCCACCATGTGCCCACCAAGCCGCTCCATCGCTTCCCCCTCTTCAGCAGGGCAGCTCATGACCATGAAGGGCAGTTGGCATAAATCCTGTAGTTTTAGCCTTGTGAAAGGAGCCTTTACTTCCTTGATGTCATATCTCAAACTTCACCTTTACCCGTTTCACTCGCTGGGCGTGCTCAGTAGGCAGAGGAACCCTTTGCGTAGCACCTCATCGCTGACCTCTCCAACTCCCTGTTGTGGTTTTTTTTTTTTTCCCCCCTCATTTTCTTTCCTGGCCCTTTTCTTTCTTTTGTGTCACTGTGTTAGGCTTGATTCTAGTTTACTTATTGGGTTGTTCCTCCTCTTGTGCCCTCAAGACAGTAGTGCTGTACAAATAAACAGTCTGTAACAAAAAAAAAGTTTGGCTTCCAGGAGATCTTTCTGCTCCTGTAGCTGTTTTGTCAGAGGTGCAGGTGTGCTGTTCACGGGAGGAGGAGCTGCTTAAGCCACCCTCTGCTGCTTTTGTGCCTTTTAAGTGAATCCCCCAAAGTGTTCTTCCACGAGTTAATCTCCACCTTGCTTTTTGTGTGGCAGGTAAACGTAAAAACCTGTTTACGGAGGGAGTAGCCGAGAGCATCAGGAACTGGGAGGACGTTAAAGGAGTTGGGTGGGGAGGTGGCTGTTTCAAGACACTGAATATATTGTTCAGTCTTGAGCGATTTGCCGAACGACAAAGCGTGTGCCAGTAGCAGAGTCAGAAATAGCATCCAGGAGAGCCGCCTTCAGATGACTTCTTTTTTTCCTTGGACTTACTATTCCCTCTGTACACACATGTAAACAAAGCTCTGGTTTTACTGAACACCTGCCTGGGATTATGGCAGAGACCTTCACAGCAAAATATTCTTTTATTTGAAATTGGAATTCAATGGTGAATTTCTTTTTATTTATTTTTTTTTTCCCATCCTGTAACATCTCTGAATACGAGATGCTAATGTTTATTCTCAGGGTCATCACAGACATTAGTTTCTGTAGGTGAATATCCTAAGGTGTCCCTGAGCCTCCTTTCTTCAGAATTCAGAGGCCAGTGACACCAAGATGAGTCAGTACAGCTGAATGATGCAGCCCTAATGTACGTTGCTGATTTTCTGATTGAGGTGAAGTTCGAAAGTTTCCCTTGGTCTCTGGGAAGGTGAAGTTTTCATTATAAATCTGCTTTCCATCTGTAAAGCAAGAAGCCAGATAATTGGCATCTGGTGGGATAATTCGCTGTGAAAATGAACACAGTAATTTAGGGCAGGCGTAGCTATTCCCTAAAATCTGTGAAATATTTGAGCTGGGTCTCTCCAGTGTGAGCAAAGTTGGTTGTTTTTTTTTTCTAGGAGGTGCTGATACAGAGCACATTTTCTGTGGTTAATTTGATGTACATGAAATAAACTGCAGATATATTGATAAATTATGTAGTAAAACTGTAGCAATGTGTTCAGTGTTCATTTTTTCCAGATCACTTGAGTTCTAATTTTTTTTATCGTTTTTCATTCCAGATTACCATCATGAGATATATAAGATCTCTGACTACAGCAATGATGTTAATGGGGAGACCAAAGAAACACAACCAGTTTTTTTAGGTATGTGCTTGTGTTGATTAATTTCCGAGCAACATAGCGTGGCCATTTGCAATTAGGGAGGAAAAAAATCTCTGTGCAAGCACAGGAAGCGCCTGCCATTGTTTAATATGACGTTCTTTTCAAGACCCTTTTATTCTACGAATTGCCAATATATCCTTTATTAACACTGCTAAAAGTTGTAATTTCAGACATAAATGTTTATTAGTGTCTACACACAGTGCTAATTATCACTCACTCAGAGAGCCAAATGCTGACTCTGCAGTTTTGCAGCTCTGTGCTCACCCCATTTACATTGCATATTCGCTGGCATGCTTCACTGGCAATAGTTTGTGTAATTGGGGTATTACATCTTTGACATCTGGATAACAGAAATTCAATTTCCAGGAAGCTGCTATTTGTTTGGTTTTGCTTCTGCCTTGGGTGGGATAGAGGATTAATGTGCTGTCTTAATGTAATGTCCTTTCACCTCTGTAGCCTGCCTGCTAATCCTGCCATGGCAAAATTAAATTAAATCAACAGTTAAAAATGTGTAAAGAAAACAAAGAAGTAATATAGAGTCTGCAGCATGAATACTACAGCATGATAGGACTGGTTATCAGCGAACCTTTATCTTTCCTGCTTGTGTGTTTTTTGTCCCGTATAACTCCTCAGCTGCAGAGGGCTTCTTCCTTTCCTGCTTCCAGCCCCTTCCTGTCATATCTAGGACCTCACCTGGGTACTTGTACCTCTTGGCAAAAATTCCACGGGCCAAATTCAGAGGAGTAAGGGCTGGATTTTTGAGCTATAATAATGACTCTTGCTGTATAGAGCAAGACACTCTTGGACACCTTGCTCAGGCTTCGGAGAAAGCAGGTGCCTTTGCAGCGAGAGATGTGGAGGTGTCTGCCTCTTCTTAACTGCACCAGGAGCCTGAACGTTTTTGTAGGGTGATGTAAGGTTTCTGTAGTCTGTGCGTGTTGCCCCCTGGAGCCAGCAAGAAGCATTGGTCCCAAATGTGTGAATCTACACCTGAGGACAATCTGCATGCAAAATGCCTTTGTCTCCTTAGTTCATAGTGCCACATGCTCTTCCAGAGGTCAGCAGCAAATGGGGAGAAAAGAAGGATGTCTTGGGCAGCGTGGAATCTTCTGGTGGTTGGAATATTTACGCAGGGGTGAGAGCTGCGTTAAATTCCCTTCTC